GCCAGAGTTCCTGACGGGTGAAAGTTCTCCGTGCCGATATTGTGGTTCCCCACGTGGTCATCATCCGAGATGTGATGCACAGCGCCTCCCCCCGCAGCCATTTTGCCAAACTCGCAGTTCGAGTCCGAACCCAGCACGACGAGGCACCTCGAAGGTGCATCCTGGATGGTCTTCTGCAGCCACCTCGCAAGCTTCGTGACCGTGGACTTCCAGTGGTCTACCTGCTGGCACTGAGGCGGGGGAAGTAGGCGACCAGGGCGAGTATGTCGAAGGAGCTGCTACGAAGCCGAACCCCTCCAGCACGCCCAGCCAGGTCTTTCGGGGGGGTCCACAATCTCATGAATATGCGAGCGTCGAAAAGCACGCTTGCGAAGGAAAATACTACAGCCAGCTGACTTATTCGTGAACTGACCCTTGCCCCAGCCGAAGTCCAGCACCAGGTGCTTGGCGCTCTGCTGGATCGTGACTCCGTCCCCTGGGCGCCGCTTGCGCTGGGTCGCAGGGCACAAGATGAGGTCAGCAAATCCAAGACGAGAAGAAATATCAAAGGTGCGCCATGCGTCTGCCATGGAGAGAGGGTTATAGAGTACAGTTTGCAGAAGTGAACCCCACATGGTGGGTGTGAGCGGGTCTGCAGGCGGGGGATGTCCTGCGTATGCCAGAAGCAAGGGCCCGCGAACCCCAGGACTGGGCAGAAAGGGGCTAGGAGGAGGAGGAGGAGGAGGAGGAGGAGGAGGAGGCGGAGGCGGAGGAGGAGGAGGAGGAGGAAGGGGCATGTCGTTCGGAAACTGGGCGAGGGCTGTGGCTGCTAAAATGGTCGTCACAGAAGAAAAAAACAAATTCCCTGAACCTAATCAAGCTCAGCGCACTTAGTAGGCCGGCTGCTTCCCGGAAGAAGCAACAATTTCCCGGAGCTCCGTTTTAGCAGCCACGGGTTTGCCAGCCTTCGCCCGGCTTCTCAGTCCAGGCGCGGGGGAGGGCGCAGCGGCTCGGCCAAGCGGGTGCTCGCAGGCGAGGATCAGGAGCTCCCATGCGGAGACAGAGTCGTGCATGAAGAACGGCACGGGCAGCAGGCAGTGCTGCGGCCGAGCCAGGCTTCGAAAGAGAGTGTCAGCAGCTGCGGGGTTGCGACTGACTTGTGCAAGAAGGCGGCAAGTCGCCGCAAGGACGGTTGTCTCGAAGAGGACGCTCGTGGGAGGCTTGTCTCAGCCGCGCGGGTGAGAAGACGCGGGCGGACACCTCCCAGTCCGCTGCCCCTCAAGGGGGCCATCTCCAGAGAGCCCTTGCAGCAACCACGCAGCCACCCCCTCCCCAGGCAGGAGGGGCAACGATGGGAGGGGGCTGGCTCGGGGAGACATCGGCCTGAGCGGCGGAAAGGAGCGGGCCTTGCGCGAGATGGCACAGCGACCTGACGCCGCAGCTCACGCGGGCCGCCAGCGCGGCACGCTTGATCAAAAGCGAGGGCGCCTACGCGCGAGCGCACGCGGGCATCTTACGCGCGAATGTCGGCGCAGACGACCCCGTTTTTCCTCCGTGGCTCAAGTGGAATCGCCGATAGCTCGGCGATAGGCCCCCCGATGGCAAATCGCACGTTCCTGGGCGGGGTGGTGCTACCAGACATATATTGGCAACCAATGGGCGATTGGGAGTCGACGCATCAGCCTGGTCTGGTCGTGAAAACTCAGACGTCGAGATTCGGAATTCTATCGGAAGCTCTCTTTGGTTCTCGGCGGTTTGCCAGCCTCGGGGTGCGTTCTGGCAGCTGCGCCTCGCCGAGAGCGCAGGGCGTTCTGAGGGTGCCCGGATCCTCCCAGACGGCCGCCCGAGAGACGAGTTCTGGCCCGAAAACACAGTCATGCTCAGCCGCCGCGGGCCACGAGGGTCCTATACGCAACACGCAGCCCGTAGCGTGTCGACACTGAGCTCAGCACGCAGATCGAAAACTTACAAGCCTGGCGCGACACGCTCGCCAGAACGCGGACCAGCACGTGCCGAGCCAACGCGCAGCGTGTTCAACCCGGACGCCTCGAACACGGCACGTGTTGCGTTTCGGCTCACGGGCGCATCAGGGCAGCTAAGCTCATCGCTGCTCGACTCCGCTCTTGCGTGGGGCGGCTCTGAAGGGGCCCTGGGACGCACAAATACCACGGCTTCCTTACAGGAGTCTGCAGCACCGCAAGAGCAGACCCGCTTCGACCCCGCCATCGCCCGCTCCGAAGTCAGTCGGGGGCCGATACGACCACTTGGACGACGTTGCCATGTGCATCCGCCAGAGCTTGAAGGGGGTTAAGCGGACCATCGATGACGTCGAGCTCGAGTTGCCGAAGGGCAATCGGCCCAGGCACGAGTATTTCAGTGGGGGGAGTGGGCCAGACAGCCTGGACAGTGCGCTCACCAACGTGACCGACGACGAGTGCCTCTATGCGGTGTCCCTCGACCTCCCCGCGGACATGCGGACGAAGAGTAGCAGGCATTTCTTGAGGGATCCTGGCTGCTTGCACACAGGGGGGGAGGGATTCTGAACTGGGACTCCAACTCCCCAGACCTCCTCGCGTCGTAAAGCAAACGCGACGAAAGTTTGGGGATTATCTTACGCCTCCAGGGTCCCTCACTCATTGGGCCCTAGGGCCGTCAGGATGAAGAAGCTGGTCCCGGGGAAGGGGTCTAGATCTCCAGGGGTCCACATGTGAAAAAAACGAAAACACCAAGCAAAGAAAACGGAGGTCTGGGTAAGGCCGTGCACGGCCAGCTGGACATTACAGCTAAAGGTTGGTTGGTTGCTCTGCGCACTGCCGTGCCAGCTCTCAGCAGATCAAGAGGCCGACAAGGAAATCAATGCGCGCATTCAGCGCCAGAGCCTCAGCATCAAAGGAAGATGTCGCCGCCTCGTAACCCAGACCTCCGACGTTGTGATTTGTCGTGCGAAGTGGACCCCCGAAAAGTCTAAACCACTTCCCTTGGGCCAAATTCTCGTCCCGAATCGTCTTTGGACAGCCCCAGGGCCTAGTGAGGGCCCTCGGAAGCCGAAACTAGCCCCAAACCTCCCGCCGTGAAGCTTCCACGACGCGAGGAGGTCAGGGCCGCCATGTGTCGTCGCAAAGTACGTCATAAAGCTACGCTCCCGTTCGGAGACCCGAGGCTGTCGGCGGTGGACAAACCTCCCTTTAGTAAACCACCCTTTAGTGAAAACGGCCGAGGACCGAAACCGACGGACCTGGACCCGCCAGAATGACGGCCGCGACGCCCTCTCGCGAACCGAAGACGGCCAATTCGCTGATCGACGTGTCAGGGCAGGAGGTCCATCCACCTCCGAGGCCGGGGCGCTGCGTGCCCTCAGCGCGGCATGCCCTGCCCGCTCCCCGCACGGGCGCGCGGCGGCCGAGACCGCTCCGCGGACGGGGCCGCCCTAGGCTTCGGCGGGGCCCGCTCCGACAGCGAAGCCCCTGAGGGGCGGGCCGGCGGACCCTGGCCTTGCCAATTGTGGCACCGCGGGCGTCTTCGCCCGGCGTCCGGCCCCGGGACCCGCACGGATCGATGGGGCCCGAGCAGTGACCCAGAGCCCCTCGCGTTGTGACGAATCGCGACGGGAAGCTGCTCCACACCTTTGGCTTCCCGGGGCCCTCGCCAGGCCTCGGGGCCGTCAACAAAACGGCTCGGGATAAAAAGCTTGTCCCGGGGAAGGGGTCCAGACCTCTGGGGTCGACGCCGCGAAGTGAGCACGACGTCGGGGGCCTGGGGACGCAGAAAGTCGGTGTCCGGGGGCACTGGTCGCGATGTTCTGCGAGATGCTGAACTTTTCTGTTTTCGCAACATCGGCTGCGAGGGCTGACGGGCGGAGGGGCGGGCAGGATTGCAGGCGAGCGGTCAGGCGTTGGCAGAACTGGGTTTAGTGGGACCTGGTGTAGTGATGTGTAGTGGGGGGCGCCCCCCCGCCCCGTTCCACTAACCTGAACTGCCGTCGCCCGAAAAAGCACCAGCTACGGCAAACCTAGTTTAGTGATTCCGGCAAATTTAGGAGCTCCGCCCTGCTACTCACCGGGTCCCCTTACCTGCCCTGAGATCCGACGTCGTGATTTTTTTCATACGGGGTCCCCAGAAGTCTCGACCCAGTCCCCAGGACCGGCTTTTCATCCTGAGACGTTTTGTTGACGGTCCCGATGCCCCGCGAGGGACTTGACTTTTGCCAATGCGGTGGATCTCTGGGTGGGGTCCTGGCTACACCCGAGCTGGCGGGCTGACGGGCGGGCGGGGCGGGCGGGCCCCACCGGGCGGGTCGGGCGGGCGGGGAGGCAGGCGAGCGGGCGGGCGTTGGCGGACCCCATCACGGGGAGGCTCGAGTATCGTTTTTACTTGGCGGCGCGCAAAAGGGGGTAGAGGGAGGGGAGAGGGCTTCTTAGAAGGAGGCTGCTTCGTAGAAGGCGCCGGCCTTACATCTATAGATAAGGCCCGCGCCTTCTAAGAAGCGGGGGGGCTTCTAAGAAAGCCTCCCCATTCACCTGGCTGATTTACCGATCCCCATCCCCAGCGGCGTGGCCTGGGCCCCACTGGCCGACTTACCCCCTGAGGGGCAACGATAGGGGGGGATAGGCATAGGGGCGGATGCATCCACCTGGAATCGGCGATACATCATCGATAGATCGGCGATAGGCCCCCGATAGTGAATCCGCACCTTCCTGGGCGGGGTGGTGCTATCGGGCCCCTATCGGCAAGCAATGGGCGATTGGTGGTCGATGCATCCCCCCCTATGCCTATCCCCCCCTATCGTTGCCCCCGACCCCCCCAGATGGGGATACAGGTCGTTCCCTTCGGGTTTCGAGGGGTGTCTCCCCAACTGGGGTGGTAATTCGGTGGGGGTCTCGAAGGGGACGGGGATGGGGATGGGGATCGGTTCAACGGTACCGAGAAGGGGCGGGCTGGCGGGCCCTGCGGCGGACGAGTCGGGCGGTCCTGGGAGAGGCGGTCCTCCCCTCCCCGCGACGAGGCGCCCCCCCCCGCCCGTCCATCTCGAGCAGCCGGGCCCGCTGCTTGCCCACGGGGGCCACCTCCGGCGCGAGGGGTCCAGGGAGTGGCAGATGACGGTGAGAAAGGCCACGACGAAGAAGGAGGAAGATCGAGGAGGAGGAAGGAGACAAAGGAGAAGGGAGGATGCGGGTCGCGGAGGAGGGCAAAAAGGGAGGGAGGACGACGACGAAGACGACGGGGAGATGAGGTGGAGGAGATGGGGACGAGAGGGCCCAATGGGGAAGAGACTTCGGATCGAGGGTCGAGCGAGGACGAGGACGAGGCGGATGAAAGAGGATCGCAGATCCGGTTTTTCGTCGCTCTGGCAGCTCGCTTGACCTCCAGAAGCCTACGGATGCCTCCAGGGAGGTCCAGAGACCTTGAGGGACAACAACAGGGGGGCTGGCACAAGGGGGGAAACCTTGACCCAGGATCGGCGATACATCGCCGACAGACCGGCGATAGTCCCCCCATAGCAACTCACCACTAGCCTGGGCGGGGTGGCCTATCGGGCCCATATCAGCGACCCAAACATCTGCCGATCTGATTTTTTGTCAATCCGCGACCCCAGAGGTACCGACCCCTTCCCTGAAGGTGGTTGTTCGTCCTGGATCCATTTGTGATGGTCTCCGAGCCCGATAACGGGCCCTGGAGGCCGAAATCAGCGAAAATCCGCCTGATTGAAAGAAATCAGATCCTCGGATCTCTGGGGATGAGCGGACGATTGGGGGGCGCCTGGCGATGCATACCCCCCGCTGTGCCTATCCCCTCAGTAGAGTTGCCCCTGAGATCTATGGGCAGGCTCCTGGGCAAGGCTTACTTAAGTCGGGCGTGTCCTCCTACAGGCGGATTTTGAACGAAAAATAAAAAAATACCCCAAAAACGCCCAAACATGAAAAATGCCCCCCAAAAATCGTCCCCTGACTATTTTTTTGCTAATTTTGAATAGTTCTCCTGTAGAGAGACAGGCCCGACTTAACGCTATGCCTATCCCCCCCATATGATTGCCCCCGAGATCTCCGGGCGGGCTCCTGGGCCAGGCGAGCGGAGCTGCGAAAAAACTGCGGCTCTCTCTCTCTCTCTCTCTCTCTGTCTCGGACTTGCGGGGGCTTCCCAGCACCTCATCTTCCTCCTCCTCCTCCTCCTCCTCCTCCTCCTCCTCCTCCTCCTCCTCCTCACCGCGGCTGGCTCCGCCGCGGCATTACTGTCTGAACGGGCCACAGGACAGGCCCAGGGGTCGCTCTTGAGGAGGGGAGCGGGGGAGGGAGGAAGAGGAGGAGCGGAAGACTGGAAGAGTGAAGGAGGGAACGAGCATGGAGGGAAGGAGGGAAGAAGAGGAGAAGGGAAGGATGCAGGAAGGGAAGGGGGGGGAAGCGAGGAGGCGACGAGAAGCAGGGGAGGTGAGGGGAGGGGCACAAACCTCTGCTGCTGTCGCCGTCGCTGCTGCTTCCTCAACGTACTTGTTTGCTGTTCCCCTCTCGTCATCCCTACCTCCCTCTCGCGGGCGCGCAAACAAGAATTAGCGATCCATGCATTTGGCGCGCGGTCGCCTAATCCATGGATCGGGGGAGGTGCCCTCCCCAAAAAGCGGCCGGTGCCGCCTGATTCGGCGGCGGAAATCCGCGATTTCCCATGGAAACGGGACCCGTCGCTAATCCACGCCCCCGTGATCCATGTTGCGATCGCCTGACCCTCGTCCTTCTCCATCCGAGTCCTGCCCCTCCCTCCCTCCCTCCCTTCCTCCCCCGTCTTCCTCATCCCTCCCTCGTCCGTCTCCTGGCGACCGCGAACAGATCCCCCGCGCACCGCACCACCCCAAGAAGAACATGTGACTCGTCTGAGCGCCCCCAGCCGAGCAAGAGGCTGAGGCGAACACGAGGCCCCGATCTGGCCCAAAGAGCATGATGGGGCCCAGGGACACACAAATAAATACATACAAATTCCAGATTCCACACATTCTCTCATATGTTCTGGATGTTCGCTTCCCCCCCCCCCACTTCCCATAGTTTCCTATATTCTCCTGGGGATCGACGATGAATTATGTCAGTGTGTGTTTTTCCCCCTCCTGAGAAAACATGTCCTGACGGGAAGCGAGCCCTGGACCCTGGGATCCCTCCCGGGACCCGCTCCTCATCTCCACCGTTGCCTGACGGCCCCGCGAAACCCTTGGAGGACCCCATGGAGCCCGAGACCTGCAGGCAGCTTGCGGGGCCCGCTTCCCCTCCCGAGCCCGGCCTGTGCTCCCCGGCACGCGACCGCGTTCGGCTCCACAAAGGCGTGCGCTCGTCGGGGGACCGCGCGCCGGCGGGCGAGCGCCTGGCCCGCGTCCCAGAAGATCTGGACGGCCTGCTCGCCCAGGGCCCGGAGCCGTGCCTCTGGGGCACGGGGGCGGGCCGTGGCTGGCGAGGCGGCTGGGGCCACACTTTTCGTCGCGGCGGCTCGGGTCCAAGACGCGGCCGGGGCAGCCGCGGGACGCTTCAGGGCCAACTGAGGCGCATCAGGAGCAGGAAAGGCGCCGAGGGGGGAGAGAAAGCCGCGGGCAGCGGAGCTCACTCAGACCGTGAAGTTCTTGTGCGCGCGTGTTCCAGAGCACAGTCTTACACGGGCAGCAAGCGGGGGTGGTGAGGCGGCCAACGGTCCAAGGCGCGGCAAGCTCAGGAAATGCCAGGGGAGCTGGGAACACACGCGCTGCTGGATTCACATGTGAAAGGCTGGCGTACCTGGCTATGAAGGGCCCGAGCGCTGAAGAGACATCTGGCCACGGCTGGGCCTTCGAGACCGCGGACGCGTCGACTGGGGTCCCGAGCGAAGCACAGAACGGGAGGATGGATGCCTAAGCACCGCCACCACTGGCCCTTCCAGCGGGGCGTCGAAAGCGGGCCCTGGCGGGGCTACGGACACAGGCCCCTGCGAGGCGACGGAGCACGGCCGCGAGCAGTTGCACGTACCGCCAGTGGCGCTCGACGCCAGCGAACACGGCGTCGAGGTTGAGTACGGCATCGACTGGTCGGCCGCGGGCGGCGCCGCGGCTTCCCGCGGTGCCCTTCAGGGCACACGCCGCGGGGGCGCCCCCAGGGCTGGCTCGGCCCCTCCCGTCAGGGCAGCGGCGGCGACCCCGACACGACAGCTCGGCGCGCCGTGGGCGCAGGCGGCGCCCGCGCAGAAGCGTGAGCGCTGGGCCGACATTGATGACAGCGCCGAGGACTGCCCCGGCCCTGGAGCTTGGCAGCCGACCCAGCCAGGCGGCAGCGCGCCTGGGCCCTGGGAGGGGCTCGAGCCTTGGGCGCGCGGCGGCGCTGCGCCAGCAGGCGGCCGCCCTTCGCGCCTACGTGGGCGACGGCGCCAGCGGGACGCAGGCTCGGCGACACGTAAGAGTGACCCTAGGCAAAAGTGCCCTTTGGTGCGCGGCCTTAGGGGGGCCCGTGGGGGCCTGGAGCAACCGCGCAAGCCGAGGCCGTCGGATTGCATCAACGATCGGCGGGGCGCGCTTCGACAGATCCCTAGCGCCAGCAGGCAATTACGGACTTGTGCCAATTCGTTCCAGGCGCCCCAGAACACCCGCCCGAGGGCTCTGCGAAGCCAGACGTAATCGGGCGCCACCGCGGAATGGCACTGCCGGGCCGCATCGCGATGACGTCTGACCGGGTCCGGCGTCAAGGCCGAAACCAGGCCGAAACTTGCCCCCCCCGCGGCCGCAAATAATTTTCAATAGTAAAGAATTGAGTTGTGAAGCGCGGAATGCGAAAAGTTATTCAAAGTTAATCAAAGTTATTCAAAGTTAGTCAAAGTTATTCCAGGACGACTTGGGACCAGTCCCAAAGTGGAGAGCACGTCGCCCGCTCGACTGGGCCCCCCTTCGACAAACGAAGCACGCGGCAGAATGGACCGTGCATGCGTTGCGATCGATTGCGAGGGGCGCACCCTGAATCAAGCGCGCTCTGATGCGATCGCAGACTGGTGCAGCGTGCGCCGACGCGAGGCCGAGCGCACTCTTCAAGAATCGGCTTTTGACCGAGTCTCCCCGCGCCTCGTCGGCGCGATATGGCGGCATCTGGGCGTCCCAAGCGAGATCACCAACAGCATTGTATACGTATGGGAACACCAGGAGCGCTGGATTGAGCTGGGCCCTTTCCTCTCCGACCAATCTATACTCGTCTCCAACAGCCTGCCGCAAGGGGACCCCGTTGCTATGCTGGCGATGGCTACGGTTCTGGTGGGACCACTGCGAAGAATCGGCATCATTGCTCCGACGGCCACGTGCTGCAATTACGCGGAGAACCGGACCGCCATGACCGACACAGCAGAAGAAATGCAGCGCATACAACAAGAATGGGACCACCGAGAGAGCTTGACGGCTCTACGGACCAACCACGCCAAGACGCAGAGCTTCACCATCTACCCAGATCGTTGTGGAGCCGCACAGCTGACTTGGATGAACATGAAGATTCTGGGCCTGGATCTCAAGCTCCACAGAGCCCGACTAACCAACAGGGAACACCGCAAGTTCCTGGAAGGGTGCGTGCGACTCCGACGGATCGCCTCTCTGCCTCTGTCGCTACGACTACGACGGCTTGCGGTTACTGCGATGGCATTACCTGTGTCGACATGGGCGCTGGTTCTCACACCGCCTACGAAAACTATGATCAACACACACCAGCAGTTGGCACGACGGGCGGTGTCTCCCAGGAGGTGGAGGGGTGCGGCCCCAGAACTACTCCGCATGCTTCTCATGGGGCATCAGGCAGACGTGCGGTACCACCTCTGCCGAAGATCCTTACAGCTACTGCGGTGGCGGCTGCGCCGGCAGGGACAGGATGCCCTCGCCTTCTGGGACCACGCTGTCACGAGCGCGCAGACAAAAGGACCGATCCTCGCTTATAAGGCGCATCTGGCTACCATTGGTGCCCAACAGAACGACAACTGGGAATGGAGGGGACCTCAGGGAAGCCTCCGGCTCACCGACGGGACAGGCAAGCAGCTACACGAGCTTCGCCTGATCCTCCGATCCAACGAATGGTCTGTGTTACAGAACAGGACTCGCCGCGAGAGCCCTCTGGCGGCGGGCGCTCCCTTTCCGACGGCTGCCCTACGGGTCGCCCAGGACGCACTACGGACAACTCCTGACTTGGCTTCGCACATCACTGCGGTGTTGTGCGGGTGTGCTGTGTCGGACGCCCTCCTGCAATCCCACACGACAGGAGAGGTATCGGATAAATGCGACCACTGTGGTGGGCCATACGTGCCCACGCTCGAACACCACTACTGGGAATGCTCTGCCAACGACGACCTGCGACGGGGCGTTGCTGTGCCGACAGCTGGCTTGACCCGCCGCCTGGGCTGGCCCACGACAGAGCTCACCAGGAAGACAGCAACAACGACCTGGCTACATATGGTGTTCACCATGGCACGGGTACGGCAACGGGTATTACACGCTCGGTTTGCCACGACACATGAAGGGGGAAGCCGGGTGCGTAGGAACACTACCCTACAGCCCGGGAGGGAAAACCCATAAACACAACGGGGACCACGACCATAGTTGGGAACACTGCCGTTGGGGACACCACACCCTGACGTGACATTGGGATTGCATGTATTGCGGTGCATTACTTTTGTTCTGCCGGGAGGGACCGCTCCCATTATCCCACGGTCGCCGAGGTCATCCCTCGTGGCGCTGTACGACCAGCGCGTCCGGTTCAACCCCCGCGCACTCTTCAAGAAAATCTGTCCGACACCATTAGGGCCAACACTAAAGGTCACTCTGGCCAAGGGTCACTCTTACGTGCAGCCGAGCAGGCGGACGCGCTGCTGCTGGAGGAGGCGGCAGCGGGCCACCCCGCCGCCCCGGAGCCCGCGGCGATCCTCGCCGCAGTTAGGCCCTGCGGGGCGCCCTGGAGGGGCAGGGCGGCGCAGGTGCGCCGCCGCCCGACGCCAGGCGCTGAGCGCTGCTCGCGCCGGCTCGGCCGCGGCGCTGCTGCGGCCCCCCCCTGGCTGGCAATTCGGCTGCGGCGGAGGCGCCGGAGTCGGCGGGGGCCGCGCGCGCCGGCCCAGCGCACGGCGTGCCGCCGCGGCGCGTTGGGTCTGTGGGGCCGCGCCGGGCGCGAGCGCCCCTCGCGGGGTTCCCCCATCAGGTGATTTCGCGCCCGCGCTCTTGCGAATTCTTAAGAAAAGCCGTAGTTGTTTTCAGAATTGTGAAGTGTTACCAGACGGCCCTCTCGCGCGCGCATGTCGAAATCGTTTGAACGCCTTTGCGCGCGCGCGCTGTCGCAAGATTCCCTTGCGAGAAATGTGACGAAATGCACACGCGCGTCGTCGCGCGCGCATTCCGACAACCTTCAAAAACCGCAAGTTGCGTGAGGATGACAAGAAATATCGCAGAAGCATATCAAAACAACGGATTTTACAACATCAACTTTCAGAAAATCCTGCGTTCACGGTCTTGCGGGTTTTTCCGAGAACCATGGTTTTTCCACATGTTCATCCAATTCTGCCTAACCGGCCTCTCGCGCCGCATGTCGAACTCATTCGAACGCCCTTGCGCGCGCTGTGGGTGCGGGGCACCATCCGTGTCAAGTAACACCACGCGGGCCACTCGCGCGCGTCGGCCGCGCGCAAGCCGTCATCGCCGACGCGAGGGCATCGTCATCGTTATCTATGCTAGAATACACTGGTTTGGGTCCATGCTGGCTGAAATCCGCGAGTCGCCTTGACAACCTTGGGGTTGTATCAAGAGGTTTTCTTTCTGTCTGACTCCAGCAGGCTTGCCTGCGCGGAGGGGGGAGGAGGGAGGCGTGGAGAAAGGGCCGTGGACGCGAGGGGCGAAAGTGCGCAGAAGGAGGACGGGCGAGGACGATGGCGAGGGGCCGACGAGGAGGGGGCAGGGGGCGAGGCGGGCGAGGAGAGCGAGGAACCAATGGACACCACAGTCAGTAGACCCGGGAAAGAAGAGAGAGATAGACAGAGAGAAAGAGAGAAAGAGAGAGAGAGAGAGAGACAGACAGAGCGGCCCGTGGGGGAGGCGGGCGCCCCGCAACCCTGATACAACGTTTCCACTCCACCAGCCCGACGGCCCAGCGCCCATCTTTCGCTGTGGATAGCACGCTTGCAAGGGACCACTTTTGCTTCCAGAAGCTCGAGACCCAACATTGGACGCCGTGCTGCTCGGCAAGGTTTGTGCTGGTATGCGTGGCATGTATGTAGTCTACCCAGGTTTCGTGGCTGCGTCCCCGAACGCCCGCGATTTGCCAGACCATGCTGCGCTGCGTTGCTCGGAGATTGTTTCCTTGCTATGCAGTCAGCGTCTATGTCCCCGCAGTGTGCAGCAGGCATGGCGCCACGAATGTCTGCAACAATTGCATCCTGCGAGACAGAGGCAGCCGCATGTCGCGTAGAATACTCTTCAACTTTGACTTTAAACACACAACAATACGGGGGAACAAAAAAAAAACACACACACACACAAAAAAAAACGGCGGCAACTCGATTGGCAAACTCTGTGCTGTGAAATTCGTCCAGCGACAGCTTCCGGCCCAGATATTTCTCATATTCGCCGCGCTGAAGTACGCGCACGTCCTGTTCTCTCCACATGTGATATGCTTTGGTGTGGACGGTGAGTTTGTCAGCACGACAGTCGTCCCCATGTGAACATTCAGACCGTACTTCCTGGCCTCCGCTTCCACGTCGGCCACCATCCTGGCGACGTCTCGTTTGCAACCAGATAAAAGCAGCACGTCGTCTGCGAACCGTAGGTTTGCTAGCGGGTCAGGGGGGCCATCTACGACCAGGCCGTTGTAGATGCCTCGTTGTTTCGCCTGCTGTTGAGAGTTGTCCATTTTTCTTTAAGTTGCGGAAAATGAATTCCATGATGACGATGGCAAGCATGAAATGATGGGGCCGCCTTGCTTGACGCCCAGGGACAAGTCGAAAGCGCGGCTCCTCTCTCCAGTAGAAACAGACGCACTCTGCGACGCATAAAGCCTCTTGGATATATTGGTATACGGAGTCGGCACGCCCTGCTCTGCGAGGGCAGCCCCCAGGGTGTCGTGCTCGACCGTGTGAAAAGCCTTCTCGAAATCGCTCATGCCAATCCATGGTTCTACATTGTATGCGTCGCTCGCCTCAAAAATCATGGTCATGGCAAGCAGATGGCCGATGGTACTAAAGTTAGGTCGGGCCTGTCCCCCGACAGGCGGAATTTGGACGACAAATAAAACAACACCCCAAAAACATTTAACAAATCAATGGTCAACACATCGTCCCCTGACAATGTTTGGACTATTTATGAATATTCCTGGGGCACGCCCGACTTAATACAAAAGCCTTTTCTGTATATATATATGAGAGAGAGAGAGAGAGAGACAAAGAGAGAGAGAGAGAGAGAGAGAACAGCTTAGTCTACTGATTGACCACGAATGATGATGTCTCTCAGGCGGCCGCACAGCATGCGACTGAACAATTTGCACTGAACTGCCAAGACCGCTACGGGTTTCTAATCTGCCGGCAAGGCTGCATCGCCTTTCGTGCACAAGACTGTGATCCGCGATCTTAGCCAGCCCTCAGGCATCCTTCGGACGGGGAAGAGGAAAACACAGCACGTCACGAACGAGCTACGGTTGGAGGAGTCGGCGGGCGAAGGAGACGCGGCGCGCGCCCCTCCCCACTGGGCGCGCCCGTCGTCGTGAGGAGGGCGAGGGGACGTCTTGCCATCGCTCGGACGTCCAATGCCCGTGCAGGCAGTGCAATGGTCGGTGTCGTGCGAGCTTTCTTCGCAAGGTGACCCAGGATGATCCTCGATGGTCCTCGCCGGGAAAAAAATCTAACAAAAACTTCCAGGCGATGCCAAGGAGTGGGCGGGCAGCTGGGAAGGCGAGGGCGAGCAGCGGAAGGAGGGCACACCTCGTCCTCCAGGTAGGCGTATACCGCCTCGAAGGCCCTGCCGGTGGCCAGCTCCGCCGGCTCCTCGCAGCAGGAGGCACGAGCCCAGGGCCCCCGACGACTCGATGTCTTCAGGTCGCGGGCAGGTCTTCTGGAATTCTGGGATGCTCTGGGAGGCCTCCGGGATGCTTTCCATCAGCTGCGCCTCGTAAGCGTCCAGGGGTGCCCAGGTCGTCCCGAACGGCCGACGGAGGCTCGAGATATGGCCCGAAAAGCCGACCTCCTCGCATCGTGTAAAAATCGCGACGGAAGGTTTTGGCAAGCGGGCCCCTGCCGGGCCCGGGGACTGTCGAACAACAACTCGGGATGAAAAGCTGGCCCTGGGGAAGGGGCCAGGACTTCCGCGGAGCCCGCATTGGCAAAAACAAAGCATCGCATGTCTAAAGGGAAAGGCTACATCAGGTCTGGACCGGGAAGAGGAGAACGAGTGCAAACCCAAGACTCATCAACGATGTTGGAATAAACCCTCCCTGAAGACTCTCTCTTCATAGGCCCCTATACGGTTCCTTTTCATTGAGAGAAATGCCCCGTTGGCAGACAACCGTTTGACGATCCTGAAACGTGCCAAAACACCACTCTCGGGACTCCATCGCCACGAATCAACCTGACTGTTGCGTTTTGACGATCCTAAACTGTGCCAGTACACCGCTCCTGGGATTTCACCACCACGAATCAACGCCTGACAATCCTTAATCCTTCCCAGACGCCACTTCTGGTACGCTAACCACGAGGGCCCGTGAAACACTTACTATGTTGAAAACGCATGTGTGCGGCGCTGACGCGAGAGCCTCCCTTTGAAAACGAACATCCCTCAATCCTTGAAAGTATTGCAATTTTGTTAAACGAATGTGCGCGGCGCGAGAGCGAGAGCAACAGTGTAGTTCCCATGATGCCACGCTTGTCCTTAACCCCCGCGGGGAGCGAGCGGGACCCTCCCGTCCGATGGTGAACGTTTTTTATTCGGCGTTCCGATGTTGAGCGAAAGGGGGTGGGAGCGGGGTCGAGCTCCGGACCTCTGCTTTGGCGCGACTGATTGAAACAGTGCCAAACAAAATCGTATCTCGATCATTGAGAGTTTGCAGAAATGCACGCACGAGAATGAGACGTAAAGACATGACATCTCAAACAAGAGCAGCACAAACGAGGAGCATTCAGAAATGCCGCACTCCTGTTCGGGCCGCTGGCCCTCGGAGCCCTCGACCCCATCCCTCGGGGCCTGCTCTCTGCCCCGAGCCGCCCTCTGGGCGGTCCCCCGCGGGCCTGAGAGCGACCTCCGACGCAGAGCGGCGGCCAAGAATCGGCGAGCCCAAAGGGTGTGGTTTGCAGAGAGTGCGTCCTGCAACCCGCACCCTGGGGGGCGGGCGAGGACCTCGACGGAGTGCTCCGCCGCGTTTCGACGAGGCACGAAGAGGGCGACGTGGTGCCCCCCGAGGCCCAACGAGGCACATCGCAAGCCACACCCTGGCGCAACCGGACCCTCCCTCGCAGGACATCACGGGTGACCCGACCACAGTTTTCCTTTTTCCTCCCCCCCAGGCGCCAGCAGCAACGGGGAGGGAAGGGAGGGGCCCTGTCCTCCCACGCTCCCCCCCCCCTCCTCGCGCCCCCCATTCCCTTCTCCCCCCTGTGCCTTGGGAAAAAAAAAACGGAGAACAGTACCAGTGTTTGTTCTAACGCCGTGCCCAACCAGTATTAGTGTTGCATAAACGAAGTGGCAGCACTGTAACAGTCCTGTAGCTGTAGTAGTACTAGAACTCAGGTCGTGCAGTAATGATCATATCCTACAGCGTTTGCTGTAGTAGTCGCACTGTAGTGTTGTAGTAGGTACTCCACTACTGTAAAACTCGAATACAATAGTATTGCCGCCGAAATGTGTACTAGAGCGGTAGTGCTGTAGGAATAGTGCTGCACCATTGTGGAGCAGTACTGCTATTGTAGTAGTGGCACTGTAGAACAATAATCTAGCACAGCGCCCCCTATAATAATAATCGGCTGTTGCCTGCAGCGAATGTACTACAGTACTGTAATAGGAAAAGTCAAATGCCGCACCCCGCGTTGTTGTAGTAGTCTGGTACTGTAGTGCTGCAGCGGTGGCGCTGCAATAGTCGTAGCACAATACTGTAGCAGTCCTGCTCCAGTAGTGCTACTCTAGGACTGTAGTCGTGGTATTAGGAATACCGTGCCCAGCCAGAACACTATTGTATCAGTGAAGTGGCAGCGCAGTAACCATCCAATCAGTAGTAGTAGTAGTAGTCGTAGTAGTAGTAGTAATAGTAGTAGTAGTAGTAGTCGTAGTAGTCGTAGTAGTAGTAGTAGTAGTAGTAGTAGTAGTAGTCGTAGTAGTAGTAGTAGTAGTAGTAGTAGTAGTAGTAGTAGTAGTAGTAGTAATAGTAGTAGGTGGTGGTGATGGTCATAGTAGTAATAGTAGTAGTAATAATAATATTAGCAGTAGTAGTCGTCGTAGTAGTAGTAGTTGTTGTAGTAGTAGCCGTCGTAATAGTAGTAGTAGTAGTAGTAGTAGTCGTCGTCGTAGTAGTAGTAGAAGTAGAAGTAGTTGTAGTTGTTGTAATAGTAGTAGTAGTAGTAGTAGTAGTAGTAATAGTAGTAGTAGCCGTCGTATTAGTAGTAGTAGTAGTAGTAGTAGTCGTCGCAGTAGTAGTCGTAGTAGGTAGTACGCAGGCCGGGCAGGAAATATCATACCCGAGCACTGGGTTTAGCATTCGCACTGTAGTACTGCAGTAGAAATAACCCACAGCTGCCGTACTCGGATATAGTATTAATGCATCGAACTGGAGTGCGTCAGTCATAGTGATGTAAGAATAATTTCGTACTGCTGTGGAACAGGTGGTGTAGTAGTGTAGTAGTGGCACTGCAGAAGCAGTGCTCTAGTGCACGGTTCGTAAGAGTTGTACCAAACGATTGCCCACAATACTATAACAGGAATGCTCCACCGCCGCAGCACGACACAAAAACTGTTGTGGTATTATCATAATGTGGTGCTGCAGTGGTGACGCTGCAACAGTAGTGGCAGATGATGTACGAGTCGTAAAACAACACTGCAGCAGTAATCTGGCACACATGATACTTTAGCACTGTACTGGTAGTGCTCTCATGCGGGCAGTAATTGCAATGGAGCTTTAACACTCGAGTACTCAAGCACGGCCGCCGTGCCCTAGCAGCGTGGTGCCGTAGTAGTACTGTCTTACTAGCAGTATACTGAAGTCGTAGTAGTGCTATGATATAGTAGTCGTGGTAACAACGTAGTGGTGGCTGTGGGAACAACACGGTTTTGCACTACTTTGATAGTGCAGCATCACTCTAATATAGTCGAGCTGTTGTACTAGCAATTGCGTTGTAGGAGTAGTCGTACCCTGTGGTAATAGAACTGTTGTAATGATGAGGTTGTAGTAATACCTAGTATGGTAATAGCAAGTGAAGGTATGAGGCTCAGGCTGGGCTGTGGCTGAGGTTAGGTTCAGGCCGAGGTTCAGGCAAAGGCTGGGGCTTATATTAGGCTGAGGCTGAGGCTTAAGCTGCAGCTAGGCTGAGGCGTAGGCTAGGCGTTGGAGCGGTTTAGGCTGGGGTTTCCGCCGAAGCCCAGGCTGAGGTTTGGACGAGGCTCAGGCTAGGTTTAGGCTGAGGTGCAGGCTGGGCTGAGGCTTAGGTTTAGGCTGAGGTTTGGGTCAGACTTAGGCTATGCTTAGGCTAGACTGAAGCTTAGGCTTGCCTGGCTCAGGCTGAGGCGTAGGCCAGGCGGGGGCTGGAGTTTAGGCGTAGGCTTGGGTTTGGGCCAGGCTTAGGCAACGCTTAGGCTAAAGCTTGGGCTAGGCCGAGGCTGAAGCTTAGGCTCAGGCCAGGCTGAAGAAGCAGAGCCTGTTCTAGACAGAGGCTGCATCTGAGGCTTAGGCTAGACTTCGGCGAAACTTCGGCTGGAACTTAAGCTGGGCTAGGCTGAGGCGTAGGCTCTGCTTAGGCTGAAGTTTAGGCGGATGGCGGCAGAAAGAGAGAGAGAGAGAGGAGTGGGAGGCAGCGCCGAAGAAAAGCATAGCGGGTATACCACGCCGATACCAACAGCAAGCAAACGATGCGCTCCGCCTCCCACAAAACAAAATCCTTCAAAACGCAGGGGGGCGATTCGACCCCTGAACCCGCGTCCGCTTCCTCAAAGTCTGCCCCCCTAACCTCTTTTGGGCTGCATCTTGGCTAGACGTTCCGAGGAAATCCAGCCGTGGCGAGGAAGGCGTCCCAGTAGTCCCCGCAAAACGCCCAAGACCTAATGACTGAAAGCAGACAACAAACTACAACTATAAACAGACACACGCATAAACATGTCTGACAACGTGGACCCCAAACAACGAGTTTTTGCACTCTGGGTGTGCAAGCTGTTTGGTGCACGCAGTGTGGAGCAAGCCGTGCGCGCTGTACGTTGTCAGCAAAGTGGTGAAATGTGAGGTCAGCAATGGGATGTAGGAAACGGTGTGTACGCAATGTGGTGCAAGCGATGTGTGGAGCAAGCTACGTGGCGCAAGTTTTTTATGGTGGAAGCTGTAAAGGACAAACTGCGTGGTACAAGCTAGGCGGTGCAAGATCTGAGGTGGAAGCAAGATGGCATAAGCTATGCCACGCAAGCCACGAGGTGCAGGCAGCGCAAGGCGCCCACGTGGTGCGAACGCAAGCTACGACACGAAGGGTCAAACCTACCGTCGATTCCGTTGGTAGAGGATGAGATGAGAGCGAAAGCGCCCTTTTACCTCTCACGACCCGATAGTCATCGGGCTCACTGTCCAATCCTGGACCCTCGAAGATTGCAGGATGGATGGGCAGAATAGAAGAGACAAAAAACATAAGACAAACTTTTGGCGCTCCGCGCGGATTTCTTGGATTCGCTCTGGACCCCCTCCCTGGCGCGCGGAGCGCGCCAGGGGCGGCGCCGGAGGCACCGCCGGGGGGGGCCCAGGCGCGGATCCAAGAAACCCGCGCGGAGCGCCCAAAGTTTATGTCTATGTGGCTTTTTCTTCTTCGACTCGACCCCAGACCCCCGACGTCATGATTTTTTCATTACGTCGGCCCTCAAAGGTCTGGACCCATTCCCAGGGACCGGTTCTGCATCCCGAGTCGATTCTTCACGGTCCCAGGGCCCGGCAGGGGCCCCCAGAGGCCGAACACACACACACACACACACACACACACTCTCTCTCTCTCTCTATACATATATATAGATATATAGATATATATATATATACATATACATATACATATACATATATGTGTGTATATATATATAGATTGCCACAACCACAAAAACAAACTCCCGTCGTGATTTGTTCACGGCTCGAGGGGGTCTGGGGGGCGGCCCCCCCCCCCCACACACGCACGAGGCGCCCACGGCCGCCCACCAGGCGTGGCACCTCCGCACCCCTGGCTCTGGCGCACGGCGCGCCCGCGGGGCGCCCGCGAGGCAGCACCCCTGGCGCCGAGGCGCCCCCTCCGGACCCCTCGGGCGCCTCGGGGGCGCCGAGGCGCCCACGAGGCGCCCACGAGGCGCCAACCCCTGCAGGGGCCCTGGGACACACAAAGAAGTACACACAACTCCCAGGATCCCCCAGACTTTTGCATGTGTTCTGGCTTCTCGTCTTCCTCCTGAGCCCCGCAACACCCACCCGACGGCCTCGGAACGAACCCAGACCCCCTCGTGCCGTGAAAAAATCACGACGGCAGGTTTTTCGCCATTGTCGGCCTCCGGGGGGCCCTCAGAAGGCCTCTGGGCCGTCCAAAACGACTCAGGGTGAAAAACTGGTCCCGAGGAAGGGGTCCAGACCTCTGGGGGTCGACGTTGCAAAAAAATCACGACGTCGGGAATCTGGGAAGGTAGGGTGACGTGCAGGCGCGTGTGCACGAAACAGAGGGAGGAGGAGAAGAGGGAGGAGGGCGAGGACGGGAGAAGGGCGAGGATGATGCTTTTGTGGCAAGGCGGCAACGCGAACACTCCTCGGCGCGAGCCCCAGGTAGGAGGCCCCAGTGCGAGCACAGTCTGGGGAGCTGCGGCCTGAAACCCTCGATACGCAGACATCCGATGCCTGACGTTTCTCCATGCGGGGCTCCCGAAGACTCGAGGCCCGTTTTCCATCTGGGATGAAAGACCAGCCTGGGGCCCGGCGAGGGCCTCCAGAGGCCGAAAACGGCCAAACACCCTCCGCGGTGGCTTCTCGTCACGACGCGAGCATGCCTGGATACAGCCGGACCTAGGACAAAAAACATCCTTCGAGAACATGAGACCCTCCGCTGGCCCAGACTGAGGAACACTCGAGGGCGCCCTCCCCCCAGGATGCACACGAACATCCAGCAAACGCGAAGAACATTGGGGCACCCTCTCCGAGCAGACCTCGATCTTATTGGGGAAACCAAAAGGCACCGATACCGCTGCTCCCTGGACCTCTCCAGGGGTGCGTTCTGACCAGGATTTCGAGGCGAATCCAGCGGTGGCGACGAGAGCCTCCCAGGAGTCCCAAAAAGGGGAAAACGGGGAAAGGGTAGAGGTATGGGTACCTTGTCCTCCTCCGATTTCTACCTCGGTCCGACAGTAACCGAACCTGCGCAGCCCAGCGGCGTGCGCCTCGAGCTCGTCCAGCTCTGGCGGCTCCTCCGAGCCCTCCTCGGCGCCGTCGGCGTCCAGCGCCTCCGACGAGGGGGGAGGGCGCGGCCCCCTGGACTCATGCGCCGAGGCCCGTCCTCCTCCTCCTCCTCCTCCTCCCTCTCTTCCTCCTCCCTCTCCTCCTCCTCCCTCCCTCGCTCCCTCCTCCCTCGCTCCCTCGCTCCTTCTCCCACTGCCACTGCCTCACCCTCCTCCCTCCCTCACTCCCACTCCCTCAATTCCCCCCCCTCTCCCTCCCCCCTCCTCCCTCCTCCCTCCTCCCTCCTCCCTCCTACCTCCTATCTCCTCTCTCTCTCCTCCCTCCTCCCTCCTCCCTCCTCTCTCCTCCCTTCCTCCTCCCTGACAGTAGGATGCGATGATCGATCCTCCCCTCTATATCCGTAGCAATCGAAATACTGAAGTAATTCCCGAGGGGAAGGAATCGCCGAGCGATATCGTCAGCACCACACCCCATTGACGAATCAAGCAATTCCGCCGGTGGGGGTGGTCGGTGGGAGTAAGACAGCCCAAGATCGGGGGCGGCCAAGAGGGGGGCGTCCAAGAGGGGGGGGGCGCAAATCATGGCCAGCGGCATGTGCGCGGCCCAGGGGGGGGGCCAGGGACGTATTGCAATAAGAAGAGGCGCCATGAAATCTGTGGAAACATCATGGCTCCCGCCATGATATGCACACCCTCCTAGTCATCACCCCACTCATGGCCGCCCCCGACAAGAGAGGCCTCGAGACGGCCTCTTCGAAGGCAAGAGCCCCCGCCGACAGTCCAGATTCCTGAAAGGGAGACATCCCTGAGACAATCTAAAAATACCATAGATCGCCATGAACGAAAAACGAAGGGACCGCCGGGACCGCGCGGCCCCCCCCCTCCAAAGGGATTCGCGAGAGAGAGTTCCTCGGGGATTCCTAAGTCAGGACGCCTAGTAGCATCCGAGAGACGTCCCCTCATCCCTCGTTTTCTCCTCCGCCCTCCCGAGGCACCCTCTTAGGTTGTTCATGGTCCTCGGCTGTCCTAGGGGGTTTTTCACCCCCACCCGCATTGCACCAGCAACGATATTTAGCACCTGTATTCCGAAACAGTCTCCCCGCTCTCATTCTCAGCAACAGTGATAAGAATTGTTTTGAGATGAGATCCGGCACCAGTACGGGGCGTTCCTTTTCAAAATGGGGATCTCGACTGAGATTGCAGTTGATGAACTGATGCGGGCAGACGATTGCACCACATTGGAATCCGATTAGGGTCTTGTTGGAATCCTCCTGGGATCTTGGTGGGAACCCGCACTTAGGGGTGGGGCGGGATATAACCTCCAGGGTCCAGGGGCGAGAAACGAGATAGCTTGGCCGCGAAAAGGGGGGTCGATAACCGCGTCCTGCGGGTAGTACTCCCCGATCGTCAGGAGGGCGACTCATGAGGCGCTGCGGAGCCACTTCGCGTACGGGGCTTCGTCTCTGAGTGCGGGATGTTTGTGCTTGACCTCTGGTGTGTTTCCCGAATGGCCCTCGGGGAGAGCAGAACAGTCCAAAGCAGTCCCCCTCCCTCCTCGGGCGTGGACTGACCCCGTGACCTCACGACGTACGGACCGACCTCCCCCTCCCCCTCCCCAGCGCGTCTGCCCTGGCCCCAAAGGCAGGCATGAACTGGCCGATCCGCACTGGCGGCCGCGCCCGAGGTGGCAAGCAAGCAAGGCGTAGGTCGGGCCCGAGGTGGCAAGCAGATTTTGGAGGAAAACTAAAAAAAGTCGAAACATGATCAAAACAAATGTTCATAAATACAAGAAATCGTCCCCATGCGATTTTTTCTACTACTTTTAGTTTTCCTCCTGTAGAGGGACGTGCCCCACTGAAAGCGAGGCACTCTCGGCGCGCCCGCGGCCCCCCGGGGGCCAGTGGCCCCGGGAGCTGGGCGAGCTGCCAGGGCTGGAAAGGCGGGCCCGGACGCGCTCGCCTCGCGGACAAAAAACTGATAACCCGAAAGGACACCCCCACCCCCAGTCGCGGCACCCAGGGGGCACCCCCAGTCAGCGAAGGAAGAGAAGTCACACCGCCCAAGGCCACGGGCACCATCCACCGACGACGCCTCGCTCATTCCCCAGGGGCCCCTGCCCCCCCCTAAGGCGGCCCTGGGCACCCCCGCGAAAGGCCCGCGCCTGCTCCCAGTGGGCAGCAGACGCTACATACAGAGCACATCATATGTCTATGTATATCCTACATCATGTACACGCTGGATGGTACAATACATCATATGTATATCTAGGAGTAAGACGAGGAGGAGGAGGTAGAGGAGGAGGGGGGGGAGAGGAGGAAGAGGAGGAAGAGGAGGAGGAGGGACGCCCCACCCACGAGAAGAGAAGAGGCAGAGCTGGAGGGCGGCCATTTCCTCGAGAGCCGCCGCCGACTCGGCGGTCCGAATCGTGCGTCGTCGCAGGCACGCAGCCTGCGCTCCAAGCAGAGGCCCCGAGGAAGTCGTCGACCACGACGCCGACCACGACGACAACGACGACGACGACGACGACGACGACGACGACGACGACGACGACGGCGTCGACGACGACGACGACGACGACGACGGCGACGTCGACGGCGACAGCGGCGACGACGACGACGACGACGGTGGCGGTGACGACGACGACGACGCGCGACGACGACGACGAAACTGATGACGACGACGACGACGACCACCACCACCACGACGACGACGACGTCGACGACGGCGACGACGACGACGACCACGACCACCACCACCACCACCACCACCACCACCACCACCACCACCACCTCCGCCCACTCTTCTCTCCATCCTCCTCCTGGCGGCAGCGGCGCTGCCCCATCACTTGCGCTTGATGGGGAGCTTGGAGCTGCTGGCGCCGCTGCCGCCCTTGCCGCCGTCGGCGGGGTCCTCGCAGCGTGGCCGCGTTCCCCATCCACTTCCCCGTCTTCACCCCTCATCCTCCCATCCTCCCCCACCCCCCCTCCTCCCCCATCCTCCCTCTTCATCTTCCCTCCTCCACCTCATCATCCCCCCTCCCCCTTCGACCAACACATCCTCCTCCCCCTCCCTCCTATTCAATCCACCTCCTGGCTCCTCCTCCTCCTCCCTCCTCCAACGCTTTCCCCTCCCCCCCTCTTCCACCCTTCCCCCACATCCTCGCACTAGCCCCCCCGGCCGCCTGTCCAAACCTGATGCCCCACATAAGACAACCCCGAACCCCACCATCACAAGTAGCCCCCATTCCCCACTGCCCCCGCCGTCCTTCTCGTTGCTCTTGCGCGCCTTCAGGGCGCGCGGGACGGCGGTCATGGCGTCGTCGCGGCCGCGCTCCCACTCGGCCTCGATGATCTTGTCGATGCCGACGGAGATGGCGTCGCGGGCGCGGCCCCTGATCTCATCGACGACGCCGACGTCCACGACAGGTCGGCTGCCCGACCTGATCTGCTCAGGGACCCACGTGGCGAAGATCTCGTCGACGTCGTGCAGCACCTTGCACAAGCGCATCACGCGCTCGGTCGCCGTCAAGCAGCTCGTGTGCTTCACGACGAGGAGGTCGTACGCCTGCATGGCGGCGTCGGCCCTGTACGCGTGGCCGCTGCCGTCGCCCGACGAGAAGAAGGCCACGACCGACTTGTCAAGCCACGGCCCGTGCGTGAAGTACTTCCGCACCGTGCACATGCGGCTGGGCGCCCCGTCGATATTCCACAACATGATCCCCACCCAGTGCTGCAACATCTCCTTAGTCGGCGCCAGCGTGTACCCTGTTGCCGTGAGGAGCGCGCCGCCGATGCGATCCTGCTCCCAGGAAGGGCCCGCGATGACGGCGTGGCCGATGTCGAACGGGTTGCAGATCCGAGCGAGCCCCTGGCTCTTGATCTCCTGTGGCGGGCCCTCGAAACATGGGGGCGGGCGTGCATCGACCCCCCCGCGGCGGCGCTTGCCCATCGGCGGGCGCTAGGGGGGGGGCACCTCGCGCCGCCAATCGACGCGACGGAGCTCGGCGGCGCTGACCCTCGAAGGGTCAGCGTGGCGCTCGGGGGCGCGCAGCACCGCAGCATTAAATCGAAGGGGCGCGCCGACCCCCATCCCCCCCATCGGAATCCCCTCACCACCTGCGCTGCGCACCCGCGCACCCCCCCCTCAATACGCCCCGCCGCGGCCCTCCGGGCAGCCAGTCATTACCCCATATGGCCTGAGCCCCCTCTCGTTCCAGCCCGCCCGCCCCGACCGTTGCGACCCTGGTCCTCGACGCCCATCACGACGGGGAAAGCGGCGGGCAGCTCGTTGAACATCATGGCAACCCGCGGCGTGGACAGGGCGGAGGGGCGGCTCGCAAAATAAAGGGAGCGAGCTCGAGGAAACGTGGCAACTGGCCCCAGTGATCACGCGAACCCCCCCCCTCCAAGAAGTGCAGATGGCACGAGCGCATCCCGCCGCGGCAAGAAAGCGCCTGACGCAGGCCCCCAAGCGAAACAACATATACGCGGGGGGAGGGGCGAGCAACCGACGCAATCAGGCACGCCCTCGCCACGTATATATATATATATATACATATGCAAATGCATATATATGCAAATGCAAATCTCACCAACCCTCTGGGAGTCGGTGGTTTAGGGCTTTCCGCTTCCAACTTCCTTCTTCCCCTCGGGGAGGGTTCGCCCCTCCCCCTCACCCCCTCCCCTGGACCTGGGCGGGGGGGGGGGGGGCGAGTCGTCAGAGGGTACTGTTTCGCCCAAGACGGCTCCAAGAGAGCCTCGGAGAGCCCAAGATGACCTCCAAGAATGCTCCAGATAACCCAAATGCCTCAAGATGGCTCCGAAGATGCTCCGAGACGCTCCAAGAACGCTCCAAGACGGCTCCAAGTGGCCAAAGAGCTCGCCAAGGAGGCCTCCAGGATGCCAAGATCCTTCAAACACCTTAAGGAACTGTGTGATTGTGGCCTTCTCGCCTCTTCGCTTCCGATGGCCTTCCGAGGCATCGAGATGGCTCCAAGATTGCCCGAGAGGGCCCCAAGAGGAGCCCAAGAGAGCCTCAAGGCGGCC